TTTCCCCGGCCCCTCGCTCCTTCCTCAAAGGGTGGTCGTCTAGATGCTGCGAACCGCACAGTGGGATAGTAACCGCCTAAACTATTCAAAGAATCCCCCAAAATTTTGGGTGTCTTTCTCCAGGGACTATGGAAGGGCGTCTTGTTTGTCATTTTTCTTGGCAGGGTGAGCTCTAGACCCTCAGGAACCAGTGGCACCATTTCAGAGGCCCCTCCCAAGGACATTCAATGAGCCCACCCACCACATGCACATGGGACAGGCAGCTGTGAACAGAGGCCACCTTGTCACGCACATTAAGCATCAGGCGCCTACAGGTGGGCTAAAGACAGAGCACTGGAGGCAATGCATGAAATTCTAGGGGCCTGTACTTGTACCTGTTCCTTCCCGTCACCTGCAGCGCCATGACCTTGACTCACACCAATCATCCCACATCTGAGCCACAACACCTATCACCTGGTTGACCAGTTGGCAGTCTCATCCTTCTCTAGGAAATTATTTATTTACCTGGAGCCCACATGGTCTTTACCTTCAACTGACCTAAAACCCTGGAAGACTGCTATTTTCTCCTGGAGGACGTTCAAACCTCCCAGCCTGGCATCAACCCTTCTACAATTTGTCCTCAGTCGGCACGTTCCATTCTGTTTTGTCCTTTATACCATTGTGTCAGTTTACACTTTAAATCCTTGTAACTGGTGCATAATATATATTTTTCCATGGAAATTTCTTTAAAAATATCATAGCATATGGAGTCAGGATATCTCAATTCAATTAGATTTTTTTTTTTGCATGCACCATGTGCAAGGTTCTTCCCTGGCCACTACAAGAAATGGAAATATGTATGACCCTCCATGATGGATGGTATAATTTACAGTCTCCTTCTGAAACGCATTTTCAACTGGAGTCCTCAGTGTGTCAGACTTGTGATATACCCCAGTGCAGCCAGTTCTTTTGGGAGCCTGGTGCTAACCCTTGCACATCCCTCACAGGAATGCGTTTGAGTGCAATGCTTGCCTCTTTAGGTTTACTTCCCTTTTCTACCCCTTACCTGTCTACAAGGTCTGTCCAGAAAAAAGTCCAACCCGAAAGAGAATGGTTTGTGTGGCCTCAGTATAACCTGGCAGTCAAGGAGTGGACTGGAATGTGAGTGTGTGAACAATGATGACTTCACTGTACCAGTTGGTGGGGACAGTGGACACCATTGAGTGTGTGTACTGTGTGGCTGTCACATTCAAAATGACTGAGTAGAGCAATGAATCTGCATCAAATTTTGCATTCAGCCTAAACATTCTTCCACGGAAGCTATTTGGATGATCCAGAAGGCCGCAGCTGTGGGCAACTGGTGACAGGCAGCTTCATCACGACAACACACCCGCTCATGGATCACATCTTGTGCAGAGTTTTTTGGCAAAACATCAAATCACCCACATAACTGCCCCTCTACAGCCCAGATTTGGGGCCCTGTTAGTTCTGGGTTTTCCCAAAACTAAAATCACCTTTGAAAGGAAAGAGATTTCAGACCATTGATAAGATTCATGAAAATACAATGGGGCAGCTGATGGTGACTGGGAGAATTGTGTGAGGTCCATGGTTCAGGCACCAGGTTACATATTCGACAGACACTGCTCTGCCCTACATGACCACAGATGTGAATTCCTCCTCTGAAGGCTGACAGGTGGTAACTTCCTTGGTATTTGTTTGCCTTTCAGGTCGGTCTTTATTTTATTGACTCTACGAGATTATAAACTTCACGAGGGTAGAAAGTGGTCAGTATACATCTTTGTATCATTTACAACAGAACAGGCACGCAATAAACAGTTGCTTTATTGAATAAACTGTGGCTGCCTGGAAGACAGAATGTAAGTTTTAAACTCATCCAAGGATCTGTACATTTTCCAGTACGGGCCTCTATTCTAATTTGGCAGGGAGGCTCCCTTATTAGTGCTGTACTCTCAAAGCTACAACTGGCACATAGGCACTCACTATGGCTGCAGGAAACTAACTGAATGATCAATGCAAAGCAGCAAGGGCTCATCAAGGGAAGACGGAAGCCAGCGATCAGGTCCTCGGCCAGGTGTTCTTGACCTCTTTTGGTTTAACACAGAATTTTAAAAAATTAATTTAAGCAATTACTGGACCTTGTGAGTCCTACTTTTATAATTACAGAAACCTTTGGCCGTGAAAGGAGCAAAGGTGTGTGCTGACAGTTTGAACCTGAAAGCCCCCCAGGGCCATTAGGTACCGATGACTTGCCAACCTTAAATTCTTATGCATTGTGCTTTACAGCAACCCCAGGACCATCTATCGCCTTTGATCTTAAGAATCCAGCGAGGTCTGTTAGAGGAACTACCAGTTAAACGCATACACTGGAATCGATAGCATCAACCGTTACCGCCTGAAACCGCTTCAGCATCCGCTGGAAGGTAGCAGTCACAGGAGCCAATGAGGTCGCACGTGGAAAGTAAACACCGGCAGCTTTAAGGATGCGGCGGCCTCTTCCGCCCCCTCCCCCTCCCCCCGAAGGGGTTTCAGTTCTAGTTTTGACCATTCAGACTGCGGGAAGACCCTTGGGGTAAAATGCTGCTGCCAAACGCGGCACGAGAGGTCACACTCCAGACGACCATGCTTGGCTGCTGGTTTTAAGTGCAAATTAATGAAATACAATCCGTCCCCAGGCCAAGGTCCTAAACCACCTAACGGCAGCACCGAAAAGGAAGAGCGTTCGAGCCCGGAGGGGGGCGGTGGGGGGTCGGAGTTGCCCAACGGATCTAGAGCAGAAGAGGCGGGTCTTCGTGGCGAACCATAACCCCTCCCCTGCTCGTCGCTGATTGGCGGAGGCAGCAGATCTAAGAAAGGGGCGGGCCCGCGCGAGGCCCAGTCTCCGCCAGTCGGCGCGGTCCCACCGCCTGGTGGGTGTGTCCCGGGGGCGGGGGCGCGCGCGCTCTCCCGACGACGGACCGGAAGGGAGGCGGGGCCGCGGCGACGCGCGCCCCCGAGACGCGCGCAGCGCAGGCGGCGCGGACCGCAGTGAGCCGATCCGCGACCAGAACGGGGCCCCGGGTGTGCGTGTGGAAGAGGGCTCGGGGGACTCGGCCGCGATGAACACGGTGCTGTCGCGGGCGAACTCGCTGTTCGCCTTCTCGCTGAGCGTGATGGCGGCGCTCACCTTCGGCTGCTTCATCACCACCGCCTTCAAAGACAGGAGCGTCCCGGTGCGGCTGCACGTCTCGCGGATCATGCTGTGAGTGCGGCCGAGGCCCGACCGGCGGAGTGCGGCGGCTGGTCCGGGGCGGGGCAGGGCGGGTCGGAGGCTGGGCCGCCGCGGGTCTCCGTCCCCCAGGGCAGGCGTCCTGGTGGAACCTCGCGGGCTTCCCCTCCAACTCCCACCCTTCCGCCACCAATTCCCGGGCTTGCTCTTAAATTTTAATTTTGAGTGTTCCTCGGGTCAGTGCCTCCGCTTCCTTCCTGTTCCTCACTTCCCTCCGCCCACGCCCGGCCAATGAGGGAGCTACACAACAGCGCTCCGCGCCGCCGCCCCCCGCCCGGCCCCCGCCGGGCCCCCGCCGCCGCCCAGGTCTCCAGCCGGGCTGGGTCCCCCGCGCCCCGCAGTCTTGCGGGGCCCCGGCCCCCGGACTTCGCCCTCTTTGACATTCCCCCCCGCAGCGCCCGTCTTGGCTGCTCCGTGGCAGGAATCCCTGGAGCCGCTTTGAAGTTGGCGAGGGCGGGTGCTCGGAGAGGGGCCGGCATCTGAGCTCTCTGGTGCGGTTTGGCTTTTATTTATTAAGAGCCAACCGCTTGAATAAATCTGCGAAAATGCCAAAAATAGAACTTTGGAATGACGTGGGCATTTCGCCCTTGCCTTTTTCTTTTCTTGATTATTTTATTCTCTAGCACTTTTTTCTGGGATACGTAGAGGGTTGTTGTTTTTTTTTTCTGGTCCTCCTACGTTTCTTGTCTGTTCCACCTTCTAACAAGTTCTCTCTCTTTCTTCAACCTTAGTTTTCTTTATTTATCAGAATCTCCATCACACCGGTCATCTTAACAGTTACCGAATTCACCAGTACCCCGCCCAGCATCCCGCTCCCCCCTTCCCTCTGGTGCTATTTGTTAGATAACTGTGTTTTAGGTTAAAAAATCAGACCCTGGGTGGAAGTGAGCCCTGCCCCTGCCAACTCTGGGGGTTTTGAAGAGCTTGGTGCATAGGAAATGCCAAACAGCTGTTAGCTCTTGTTAATTTTTGAGCCAGTTTCTTACTATTCTGGGCCTTAATTTCCTTCTGTCTAAAATGGAAGTACTCCCAACTTGGACACTTTGAGATGACTGTGAAAACACGTAGTGGCCATGACACAGGCACACAATAGGCACTCGGTGAATAGCAATTGTCATTTTTTCCCTTGGTTTCCCCACCCCGCCCCTTAGAATGGGCACTTCCTTGCACCCATTCTACCCAGCCGTTTGACATCAAGCGTTCACACTTCTTTTGAGCAGTTTTTATCTCCCCCTGGGCTTTGTTAGGGGCTCTTTTGTGGTACATGAAAACAGCTGAAGATCGACTTTGATATCGAATTTGAAAGTTTGTCCTGATTTCCCAGTTAAGGGTTTCTCTGGTCTTCACTCGCTTTCTCGTGGAATTGCTGTTACCCCTGTGCCTACAGCTCATGCCCGTCTGTCACTTCTTCTAAGGAACTGTGTGGGTTTTGTGTGCTGATATGTTTGCATGGTGGTAAAGCTTTTGTCTTTACTTCTAGAAAAAACGTGGAAGACTTCACTGGACCTAGAGAAAGAAGTGATCTGGGATTCATAAACTTTGACGTGACGGCAGATATCCTTTAAGGAACGATTTCATTGCTGCTTCTGTGGTTTCTAATGATACATGTCTTGTAGGGGGCAGTCTGGCTATCAACCGAGCCTTGGAAATTTCTAGGCCTATGTTATCAGTTAAATTGTATTAATACCTCCTTGTTCGCATCTGGAGGAAACTTATTTGTCGATTCAGCACTTACTGTGAGAAGATCCTCTAAATTCTCCGCAGAAACGTTACGTAAATCAAAAGCTTCAGGAGAGTTTGAATCTGTATTTTGGAAAGAGAGAATCAGATTGTTCGGATTAAAGAAGGAAGAATGTTACTAGGGCTCATCCAACCTTAGATGGAGTGTTTCTTTTATAATCCCAAAGTACATCTTCATATTTCATGATAGAAACATGGTTAAAGATTGAATTGCATCTGTTATGGTTCGGAAGGTCATTATCACAATGGCTGTTGGTAAGTCGTATTAAAAAATAGGTATAGTTTTGATTAATTTACAAAGAGAATAGTAATTATATACTCTTTAAACTCCAAAGTGACTTTTTTTGTTTTTTAAAAGATTTTATTTATCTTTAGAGGGGAAGGGAAGGAGAGAGGGAGAGAAACATCAATGTATGGTTGCCGTCGTGCATCCCCTGCTAGGAACTAGCCTGCAACCCAGGCATGTGCCCTGACTGGGAATCGAACAAAGTGACTTTTTGAAAAGTCAGGTGCCTGTACTTGTATAGAAGGTTCTCTGGCACCAAGAATTAACCAATCAGACACAACCTTATGCAGTGTGACCAATGAGATGCAACTCTGTTATATGACCTGTGTATTTAAGGTTCAAGGCAGGATATTTACACCAGATGGCTACTGTTGTGTTGGCTGTTGTCATTTTTTAAATTTGACACTCTAAGGGGAGAGAGGTCAGTGTTCTGACTAAATAGTCAGGAAGTGCATGTTTTTAAAATTCTTGCGGCACACGGGTCGAAACTCGCTGGTTTGGATGATTACAGTGAAATTTCCTCGCATCTCAACTACTGTACTTGTGCTGGGTCTCACCCAGTTCGGTCCGGTTTTCTTAAGGCCACTGTTAAAGCCTGAACTCGCATCTGCTCTTAGAACTATCCAGAAAGAAAAAAAGAGCGATTTTAGACTTCTCAGTTCTGAAATAGTGTCTCTTACTGGATCACGTGAATGTGTTGCTATCAGTACGTAAACACATATAACAAATAACTTAACTCTTTACATGGAACGCTTAGTAAAATCCAAACATCAACTCAGTTCATTTCTTAGTGACACCAGTCTTATAATAAATTCTGCTGATTTTTTTCTTTTTCTGTTAGTAAACCAATGAAACCAACTTGGTGTCTAGCTGTGTATTCTACCTAGCACCTCATGGACTGAGAGCTTTCGATCTCTGCCGGCATGTGTCCAAAGGCAGCGCACACAATGTATTGTACTTGGTTTAATCACTTGAGCCTAGTTTACGTTTGCATATCATTACATTTAAATTGTGGTAATTGGTTACTTTGGAACTTTAGTGGAATCCTGTGTGCTTGAAATATTAAGTCCTCTTTATCTTTTACATATTTGTATTACCAGCTCAGTATGTTTCTGGCTCACCTGTCCTTTTTTTTCTATTTTGGTTAATATTGCTGTGAACACTTAAGCATAAGTAAGATCTATTTTATATTCCTTAATTTGATTACATCTAGAGAATATATTTGACTGGAATGTTAAACAGTTGTTTCTCTATTTATCAGCAGAATATTCAACAAAAAATAATGTAAGTATCTCTAAAGAGAAGTATTTAAGTAGATGTGTAAAACCTTGTTCTTTGTGAAAAAAATACAAATTTTAAGTATCCAAACTGTCTGATCTGAGGAGTTGAGTAAAAATCACAAGCCTGTGGGGAGGTGAACCCGCTAAGAAAACGCTGTGTCTGTTGGTGGCCTCTGTCTTTCTTCCTGTCCGTTTCTGTAGCTCTGCAGCTGTGCGGTTTCCAGAATGGGCCGCACTTAAGGTCACCCGCAGGTGTCTAAGGGAAGCGAGCTATTGCTTCTTCTCCGAGGGATCTGAGCTGAGCTGCGGTTTTTTAGTTTGTTGGCCTTTTTACGAGACACGAGGTTGCTGTGGCACTCCAGCCTCCTCACCTGCTGTCCTGGACACCACACAGCCACTTGTGTGTTTCGCAATGGAAACTAAAAAGGGAAAGGCCTTAGGCTCCACTCATGTGCCCTGTGGACAGACACGAATTCTGAGACCCTGCGTGGTGGGGGGTGGGGTGGTTATGTCCTCCCTGAAAGGTGCAGATACTCTGGAGGGGGTGGAGCAATTCTGTAGGGCAAGAGGTTGAACGGCCACTTATCTGTTTATTCATTCCTTCCCATGGAGCTTCGTGCAAAAGTTTTGCACTATATACCCAATTAAGTGGTATTACTACAAATATTATCTGATTTTAAATAAACTAGTCCTCACATGATGGAAAAAAGAAAAAGATTCCCACAAAGAAATCACAGATTGAAGGCAATGCTAATGGCCCAGTCCAAGCACAGGGGAGCAGCAGGAACAAGGCGGAGCCGATGCCTGGGCCTCTTTCGGGCTGCTCAGCCCCATTAAAGGGTTAAAAAGAGAAAACCTAGACAGATCTAGTGTAACGCTGGCCGGGAAATTCGTTAGTCCAGAGGACTGAAATGCACATTCACATTTACTGTCCACAGTGGTGTTCTGGAAGGATAACAGCAGTGTGTGTTATGTACGTAATTTGTAAGTAAAAGTGCATATTTGGGGTGTGTGCTCAAAATAACACGTGACTGAAAACCTTTGAAGACCACTCCCCTTGTGGTGAAATCAGGAAGGGTGTTGCTGACCTTGGGTGCAGGAGGAATGGGAGGTGGTTTGGCCTCCCACCTCAGGAGTCTGAATTAAAATGTTCTCTCCACAGCTGTGCTCAGAAAGATAGACAGGAAGACATGAGTTAGTAAAACTTGTCATCTGTGTGTCTAACTCTTGTTACCCAAATACGTAATGAAAAACTGGAAGGGTGACTTTGGATCATCTCCGAGGTCACTTAGAGTCCAGGTGAATATTTGTAGGTACCGTATTTTGCCAAGTGTCATATGCTGCCAAGGCTAACGCTCGTTCAAGTTTTTGGCCCAGACTTTCAGGAAAACAAAAATCTTTCACTTTAATTTTTTAATAAAAATTTTTTTCATTTTCATTTTTTAAATTTATTTAGTAACAAAACTGATCATCCTATCCCAGGGTATTATTTTGGATATTATTACTGCCTATGGATATTATTACTGCTCTCAAGAGTTACGCTTTTAACATGTATGCATAAATAAAATAATTAAAAATATTCATATGGATACCAAATTAGTCCTACCCATGTACAATGTGCATACTTGTTTTTCCCTCAAAAGTTTGGGCCAAAAGTACACATTATACATGGCAAAATAGGATATGTAATATACATACGTGTATGTCTAACGTGTGGTTTGAGCTATTGTGATCGTCTCGTGAAACCATGCCCGCACAGTTGGTAAGTACTGTCTCAAGAATGCTTCTGTGTTTTGGAGTCGTGTGGGATTTATCAATATGAGGACATAAGGTAGTCTTTTTAATCATCAATTGGTCATCAGAAGTTTTATAATTAGAAGCTATTAAACTACTAGGTTAGAATTTATTAAAACGTGATTAGTTTGTGGGAGACGTGTATTAGTCCAGTCTGATTTTCAGCTTTAGTTAAACTAGAATAAGGGTGGAGATGTTTATGTAGAAGTTCGCTGAAACAGAAATCTTAGGACATAAAAGTAGAGAGTGACCGATTCTAACGAGTTGATACAAAGGGGAGTCTGTGGCATTCAGGTGAGTGGGTGTGTCCGTCTCGCCCAGGTTGGCCTTGCGTCCGCCATGACTGGAGGTAATGCGCAGTTAGAAATGAGTCGGCTTCTGTATTTCATGTGTGGTGTGTTCATGTTCAAGAGATGACAAGTTAACCAGCTGTATCTGCTGGTGGGTTTTTTTTAGTTCAGCGTAATTTTCAGCACTTTGGTCAGCTCATTGTGCAGTACCTTTATTTTGAGCATATCTTTTATGCCAGATGTTTTGTTAGGCCCTGGGATTTATAGGGTTGAATAAATTCTGCTCTAGAGAATCTACAAAGTATTAAGACAGAAAAAGCTGTTCTGAAGATAAGAGTAACAACTGGAGATACATAATATTCTACAAGTCTCAAAGCAAACCATCCAAATAAATATGTCATGTTCCTGGTGACAGACACACCCAAATTTATATTCGTAATTCTGGTTTGCCCAGCCTGACTAGTAAGTTGATACAGATTGGAGTTGGACAGGTCATGGCTTTGGTGAATGAATACACAGAAAAAGGCATCTCACTTCACCATGTTCTCGATTCCTTGTGCTGTTTCTGTTCACTGTGAGAAAGGGCCTGTGAGGTGCCATTGAACTCTCTCTCGGAAATCCCCGTTCCCCGTTTCTTCCCAGACGCGCTGAGCAAGTGGCCTCGCAGGCTGATGGACCGTAGCTTAGGAAGAGCGCAGTTCTTGGGATTTCCTGGTGACCGCAAATGTGTTTTCTCTCCATTTCATGTCCCTAATTTCCCAAACAATTTGTTTACCATATGTCAAAATAGTAGCTGAAAAGAGGTGTCTGGCTTCTAGAAACTTGCCATAATAAAACAGTGATGTGCCTGTATTTTATTTTAATGTAAAGAAAAAATATTGAACAGGCTTCTTCAGTGACTCCATAGTGATTTAAAACCCTTGTCATGACATAGTGGGCAGCAGTGACCTGTGTTCACAGCGTGGTGGCACTGTGCCCCTTCTGGGTTGGAGGGTCTCGGAAACTTACAGGAAAAGACGAGATTTGCGAGTGCTCCCTTCTCGGGAAGTTGGGTTCCCTCTGCCTCTCCATAGGCCTCAACTGGGGCCCATGCAGGTCTGACTCCTTGTAGGAAGCTGTGAGGACCCTGAGTGAGGAGGTTGCCTTAGCAGAAGGTGATAACCTCTAGAGAAATGTCTTCTCTCCCAGAAAAGTCTGCACCCACTTTCTTATATCCATTCAGTTGTTACCATTTTGTGTGCCCGACGACTGCGATCGCTCCTCCCAAGTTGGGTTCATTGATAATCAACTGTTTGCCTACGAATATTTTTAATTTGAAGTGACAAAGATGCTCTTTCTGATGCGTTTTTCTGTTCATTGTCATTCTGATGTAGGCGCTGAACCAAGTTGTCCTTTGGGACAAGATTGTTCTGA